GGGGTCAGCCACCAGGGAGATTTCAAGTTTCTCATTGACAAAAGGAGGGTCCGGGTGGGACTGCCTCCCAGGCACGCTTCTCCCAGAACCCTCAGGTCAGCTTGGAGACGACACCCATCACCTTGCATCTGCCAGCGGAGGATGCGAACACACCACGCGCTCACTTGGGAGGAGTTCCCTTAAAATCTTGACACCCCTTGATGTTCTTGGCTCTACTCCCTTCCATCACTCTGTGATGAGGCTTGAGGGCTCATCTGTTTATTTTATTTACACGGACCCCATTAAATATTGTATATTGATTTTGTTGACCCCAAATTATGGTGATCCCCAAGTATTATATATTTGTGTTATTATATGTATCTTATTTATGTTGAACCCTATTCTATTGACTGCTTCTGACATGAAGTTGAAAGAAGAATGAACTATTTCTTGCCAATAGGTTTAAGTGCTTCTTTAAGTCAAAGTGGAATAAGGTGAGAAGTGTCCAAAAGATTCCCATCTTACTTTAAAGCAAATGAAACAAACAAAATGAGACTTCTAGTTCAGAATGGTCATCAGAGCAGGGCCTGGCTGGAGTTCCTGCCCCTGCCCCAGGTGACACAGTCATGAAAACATAAATAAAAGTGAACGAGAGGAGCAGGTATCTGTTACGGAGAGCCCCGACTTTTCTGCAGACTCTGGTCCATCTGTCTGAACAAGCATGATTGAATCTCCGTGGAAATTGGCAGAGCCTTGATTCTTTAGATCCAAGAAATACACTTACACTGACTCCTGAAGGGCCGGCTCTGTTAAGGACCCAGTGACAGAGCCTGTGTGTAACAGGTAAGCTTAACCTCAGCCTTTGTCTAATTTGGTCACTTTGAATCGCAGGTGCTTGCCTCGGTTATCATCTTTCCAGATGACAGCTTCCAGGACCTTCAGAATGCTAACCTGACATTCAAAGGCGCTACAGATATGCTTCCTGGGTGGTACCTTTCTGTGCTCCAGGATGCTCCAGCCCAGCAGAACAACCCTCACTCACAATGCTCAGTAGAAGAGGTAAGCTGCAATGCACACTGATGATGACCTGGAACACACGAGCAGACACGCCTGCTACTAGCAAAGGCACAACAGGGCAAGTGGAGTCCTTACCTAGCGGCAGGATCCCGTACAGGGTGATGAGCTGTCGGACATCCAGGAGGGAAGGCATGGGTTCTATGGACATCTGGAGAAGAGTACTCCCCAGGTAGCTGTACTCACCTGGGGAGAGAAAAAATAGAGGACAAATGAATGGGAAACTACGCTACTCTGAGTTGCATAATTTGGACACTTGCAAAATTAACACAGGATACAAATTTAACATTTCTGAGCAAATATAATCATATTACGGAGAGTCATTGTAAAGAACTTCTCAGATAAAGGCTTGAAGAAAAACTGTCCAGCCACAAAAACATTTCTATACTCGCTACAATAACTGGGAATTATGTTGAGTATGATACTAACCTCCCAGTATTTTAAAAAATAACCTTTGAGTGTTGAATATGTGAAGAGCAAAGTTCTAAAATGAAGAACATACAAAGTATGTTTGGTTTAATTTCTATTCCAAGACATTATGTCTAACATTTGCACAAACTTTAAAAATAACTTACTTAAGATGGATGTGAAATTTGTATGGAAGCCATGTAAATCTGAACCTGAAATGCAATCATTTGAATGGTAGGATCTGAGTCTAATTTAGGATAAATAGAAACATCTCCTTTTGAGGGTGATATTCATTAACATTTTTATCGTTTTTAAAGGATTACCGAAGGAATAATATGGAAATAAATCTTTACAGGTTTAATTAGAAGGCATCAAAGAGCTTAATTGTAACCAGTCATAAATCTGAACTGTTATTTTCTAACTAATTTAGATATAAGTCACCACGAAAATTAGTTTTGCTGCCTTCATTTGTCATGAGGATGGACTTTTACATGCTCATATGATTCTCTCTTGATTTGTACCTGAATCTGAAGGAAAAATATTCGATAAACGAATCACAATCTCTTGATGTTGTTTTTTCCCGACTTTTTCTTTTCATAACATGTATGGATCTTGCAGAGCTTTCAAATGTTATATATGTACAACAAATGCCTTTATGCGTGTATGAAAACACTGAAGGAATACATGTAGGCGTCTATGAAATCCGGAAAATATCAAGGGCTTTAAAGCATTTTCAAATGCTAAGAAAATGAGAGTTAAAATCCAGATAATGATTGCTGTTTTGTTGTGGGCCACAGCCTTTCAAAGCTTCCACATGAAGAAAAGTCCTTGGCAAGGGCAATGGTCTTGGTGAGGGAAATGAGTGATAATGAAAGCATCTATTATGGCTTCCGATCTGCAGGCTTTTTAATGAGCAGGTAATAAACAGAAGAGCAGTTCATTTCGCCTTCACTAGAGCAGGAAGGGATCCTGCAGCCACCGTTAAATCCAGCACTTACTGCTGTAAACATGACATTGGGGGGTGCATAAAAGTGGCCCCATTTTCCCGCTTAAGTAAATCCAAGTTAATACCCAGATGCACCATATTTTCTAGACCCTACTTAGAAAAAGGAAGTTGAACTGGTGGGTGTTGGTTCTGATAGAAGGAACGACACTTTGCCAAGTGAGGAGACTCATACTGAAAGTGTGTTACTGCGTTTTGCTATTGCCCAGCATGGAAGCCATAAGCCCTTCCCATGGACTCATTCAGAATTTAGAGACGTCAGGATTCCCTGCATGGACACCAGGTCTTCCACGAGCGAGGGAAAAAGGAAACAGCAGATGAAGAGGTGTTGGAGATAGAAAGCATGAAAACGAGCAAGGAAACCTAGGACAACAGCGGGAAAAGAAACAGGACTGTGTTATGGGTAGGACTGTGTCCCCTTAAAAATCCGCATGTCAAAGCCTAACCTCCAGTATCTCAGAATGTGACCTTATTTGGAAATAGGATCACTGCAAATGTAGTTAATTAAGCTGAGGTTATTAGGGTGGGTCCTAATCCAATATGACTGGTGTCCTTTATAAAAAGGGGAACACAGACACACACACAGGGAGGAGGCCATGTGAGGTCTGAAGGCAGAGATGGGGTGATACAGCAGAAGCCAAGGATCGCCAACGACTGCCAGCAAACCACCAGGCGACAAGACGAGGGATGAGAGGAAGAGGTCAGTTTAGGCCACGTGAGCCCCAGGGCAGCTCAGCATCCTGGCAGGGGAGGACTGACAAGTCCAGGGAGCAGGACAGAGGTGGGGGCTTGAAGGGGCTCTTAGGCTTACAGCCAACAGATTCCTTCTTAGACCCTCCAGAAGGAACCAACCAACACTGCTGACACCGTGGCACTGGACTTCCGGCCTCCAGAACTGGGAGAGAGTAATTTTCTGCTGTTTAAACTGCCCTACTGTGGTACTTGTTAGAGCAGTCCTAGCAAATGAACACAGAAGGAGGAACTAATTGTAGAGAATAGGAATATACGAGCACACTTAAAAAATAAGGAGAAATAAAAAGTATTTGAGAAATCAAGGTGAAATCAGCTTCTAACATTTCCATTCTACCCCCACAGAGCATTGAAAAGAGAATAAAGAACAGACAATTGATAAAAAAATAATAGCCTCTTAAAAAAGTTACTCAAAGAAAAGGAGTGAGAGAACACAGGAGGCTTCAAGTCAGCAGACAATGCTCGTAGGACTTGGGGCCTCCCACCTGCACCAGGACACGCCAGCTCTGCCCTGGGCACTGCCAGGGCTGCACAGAGCATCTTCTGATGATGATGAGCACGGTGACACATGCTACGTGGTTACAATCCAGGTTCCTGCATTGTTTATACAATACAAATTTACGTTGGATGCAGGCTACCAGCTTCCAGAATGAGGTCGACAGAGAGACTTCTCAGGTTAACCTTTTGTTGCAACAGCTCTGCCAAGATTATGCACCCCGGGGCCCAGGTATTCCGAAGCTTCAGATGTTTTCCACATGTAATGTCTAAGTCAAGTCTTGTAAGGTGGGATTTTGAGGAACCCTTTGAATCTTCTTGTTCTTAGGACAGGCCCTGGATGCCAAGGAGAAAGCAAGAAACACCAGCCCTGGCCTGGGTGTCAGTGTTCCCACCGAACGCAGCAGCTCCAGAGCCACAGGCAGAGCCAGGTAATTTAGGGGGGTATTGGCTGTGTTTGTTCCCTCTGCATTTTCCCCGCGAGCAGTGGCTGACCCAGGTGCCTCGTGCTTCTGCGACGCGCACAGGGAGGGAGGGGCACAGAGGCACCAGGAAGTCACAAGCCCTCTTGCTGGCAAACCCTGAGCCCGTGGAAGATAGGTGAGATCACCACCGCGGCAACACAGGGAGGCAGCCAGCTAGCTCTGTGCCAGCATGCCCTCAAGTGTTCCATTTCTGCACTCATTAAACTGTCACAGCAATTTAGTGAGGCGGTTGCTGTTATCCTCCTCCTAATTGTGGAAACTGAGGCACAGAAAGATTACAGAAGGGACTGGCAACCCAGAGGGTGCGAGCTTCAGAGGCAGGAGGGAGAAGACATTCCCAGCCTGGGCGGGACAGCTGGTCAGTGGGTCTCTGGTCAGTGGGCATCAGCCCTGTGTCCTGGTGGCACGGAGGACGAGGGAGCAGGGGAGAGAGCCCCTCGCTGAGAGAGGGCCCCAGGCAGGCATGAGTGGCCCCTGCAGGCACCAAGGGGTCTTGGAGGACGCCAGTGCCCAGAATCTCTCCCCAGCATCCAGGTACCATTTGGAAATCAGGGACCTTGATGGTACCTGGGGGCAGGGGTGGAGGCTTGTAAGAAGGATCGAATTTGAATAACCTTGGCAGTTTAGCCCTCGTGATGCTAAGTTACAGTGATTTAAAGAATAAGGAAATGTGCTATTTCTTGCATGCCCAAGCTTGTGGCGGGAGCTGGTTCCTGGGCACAGGGTCAGTGCTCTGAGCTGGGCAGGTGTGCAGAGACAGAGCAAGGAACTGGGGGTGGGGGGAGTTGGGGGCTGGGCCTTGGGGGAACCAGACGTTACGAACTTGAGCTTCCTGCCTTCCAAGTCTCTTTCAGCCCTAACTGCTGTGATTCTAGTGCGTATTTGGATTTGAGTGGTGTTTATAAAAGAGTGGAAGCCCCCCAAACAACTCGTTTCCCGGCAGTGCTGAGCCGGGCTGGCTGTGAATACAGGGTTCCTGGGCTGTGGGGAATGTCCAAACCATGCGGCCACGTTCTGAGTCTGAGGGTTTGTACTCTGTCCCCGCCTGCATGGGGAGTTGCTGAGGCACAGCCAACACCCACCCTGCCCTGCTTGTCCGGCTCTGGGCTGGCTGGAAAAGGAGAAGGGGTAATGCCCCAGGGTTTCTTTTTCCCCTTTACTTTAAGGTCTGGTACTTTTATTAGAATACATCTTGGTGTTGGTCAATTGGAGTTGATATTCTCACATACAAAGCGTGATCATTCATTATGTGGTTTGCATTTCTGTTTTAGGAAATTTTTCATGAATAAAAATTCTTAGTGTTTGTTCTGTTCCTTGGCTTTGGTTTTCTTCTCCAGGGATGTGTATTATGTTTGCCTGCCTATGTGAATTTTCTTTGCCTATATCTTTAGTACTTGTTACTTTCTTATGAAACCTTTTAACCTGGTTCTTCATTTCTAGTTTTATTTTTAAAAATTTCTGTCTTTCACATTTCATTTCTCTTAAAGCATGGTTTGTGGACTTTATTCATCCTTGTATTCACTGTAATTTAGTTTTGTCCTAAAACGATTTTTCTCCTTTATTTAAAATATTCCTGGGGTTTCCCTGGTGGCGCAGTTGTTGAGAGTCTGCCTGCCGATGCAGGGGACACGCGTTCGTGCCCCGGTCCGGGAGGATCCCACATGCCGCGGAGCGGCTGGGCCCGTGAGCCGTGGCCGCTGAGCCTGCGCGTCCGGAGCCTGTGCTCCACAACGGGAGAGGCCACAACAGTGAGAGGCCTGTGTACCGCAGAAAAGAAAAAACAAAACGAACCCAAAAACCAACAAACAAAAAAACCCCAAAATATTCCTGGAATTTTGTGTAACTCATTTCTGCACTTTTCTAATTCCATTTTATGTATTCTTACATATTTTCTATAATTTTCTTAATGTATATTAGCTTGGTTTGAAAGAGGAGGTTCCAGTTATGTCTGCTTTGTGGGCATGTCTTTTTGTGATGACACTTTGCTCCTTATTCTTTCTTTTTTAATAGACATCTGGCATGGGCTTTGACCTTGAAGCTTTCCATTGCTTAAATTTATATGAGTTAATATTCCTATATATTTAGAAGATAGTTTGGGTCAGGGTAGCTTTTTAAATTTCATAGAGTCCCCTCTTCTGTTGTTTTCATATATGTTATGAGTATGGTGGCTTGCTTTTTGAGATGTCCTTGTTCTGTTCCCCTCCCCCAGTTGATTCTGGACCTTTTCTCTCCCTCATCTCTGTTGTCCCTATTCAATTGTGATTCTACTCCCAAGAGTTTCTTCTCAGTATAAGGCCGTGTCTCGGAAGGGTCAGTTTCAAGAGCGTCCAGAGGTTGGAGTGTTCTCGCCCGTTCATACTTTCTGATTCTATCCATTTTCACGCATCTGCTGTTGAAGTGGGCAAACCCCTCCCAATTCCAGCTGCAGTTACTACCCTGGTCTGTTGTGCTTTCCAGTGAGTGCTTGCTGGCTATTTTGGGGTTCTTTTGTTTTTTGTCCCCAGTGGCTTGCACTTTGGGCTTTGAGGGGAAACTTGGTTATTTCGTTTTTGTGTTAATTTTGTCCACAGGCTTTTGCTTTTGCCATCTAGTTGCTTTGTCTATTTTTATGTGGGGATCTGGGAAGATCCACTGCCATCTTTTCAAGCTAAGGATCTTAACCGGGAAAAAGAAGACAAACGTGGAAAAGACCAAAGGGAGCCAATCCTTGTGGCGATTTGACTGATTTTGCTAGACTGGGTCATTTACATTTGAGGTCACTCTTAAGAGGTTGATTTCATTTGCTTTGACCTTAAGCATCTTCAAGATGCTGCCTGGAAACTGACAAAGAGATCAGTGAGGAAGTCCAAGATGGATAAGAAATTCGTAAGAAGATGAGAAATATGCCCATTAATTCTCTGAGACTCTGCCATGTGCTAGGCACTGTACTAAAAACTAGGAATTCGGTGATAAGCAAAAAAGACATGATACGAAGAAAGAAACCAGACAAGGAGAGAGAGAGCACTTAGAGATCCCAGTCGTAAGTAAAGAGGTAGGGTTCTGCTAAAAGTGTTATTTTTTCATATGAACAGAATTAACAGAACATAATCAAGGCAATCCAGGAGAAAACCCTGCAGTACTTGAATAGGAAACACATAAAATAAATAGAAACCCAACAGATATTCCAGTACATATTCTGGTAAAATCTTACACCATTAGGAAATATGAAGGCTCCTCCAAGCCCCTGAGAAGGAAATGTGGCTTTATTTCAAAGGGATTAAAGCGATCACTTTTTTGATCCAAGGGAAATGTCAGTCTTTGTGCTCCTGCAGAGGCCAAAACTGGGGCAGTGTAAACACTGGAACGAATAACTCGGAAATGGGTTGTAATACAATTTTAGAAAGAGAGAATCCATCTGTCTACTCTAATACCAAAACAATTTTCAAAGGAGGGTGGGAGGGAAATCTCTCCAGAAGAATGGTACCTGCTAGAAGAGGAGGCAGAAGTAGAATATTCCCACTTTACAACCACCACAGCAAACATTAATGCAGGTAGAAGTCATCGGCGGATGCCTAAAACCTTTAAGATGGTTGGCAACAGAATCTCCAGAGCCTCAAACTATCCCCCACGGATTATTCATTGATTACAAAGTGGAAAATGGAGCTTTTACAATGGAGAAATCTGTGGAACAGCACCTCCACCAGTGATTAAACCCAACATCACCAGTGATGGGACAAAGCGTCACTTTTGTGCCCTCAATGTGAAAGACTGAGAATCAGGACACAACATTACCTGTAGTTTTCCTGTAAAAAATGTTTAACATGAATCAAGTCAGGAGGAAACCATCAAACCATCAAACCAATTCAGTTGAAGGAGAGTCTGTAAAACAGCTCAGACGTTTTAAAAATGTCAATGCTGCGAAGGACTGGAAAAGCCTGTAAATTGGTGCTGATTAAAGGAATGAAAGGGGACGACGGAGATATGACCATCACATCCATGATCCCTGACTGCATTTGGGATTGAGAAAGACAAACAGTTACAAAGGACATTATTTATTAGGACTATCGGGAAAATTGATTATTAACTAGATATTACCTAGTGGTAACAGTACGACATTAATGTTAAATTTTCTGAGTGTGATTATCTTTTCGTGGTTATGGAGGCGAGATGTCCTCAGTTGACTGTAGATGTATGAAAGCGAAAATGATATCTGCATTAGGGTGGTAGGAGTATGACGAATTTTAAGCTTTAAATATGTTTTCAGATCCTCATGGTATTTTTTAAAAATTAAGAGAAAAACATTAGCTGAAGATGGTGATAGCAAATGTCCCCTCTTTTTCCTCCCAACTACTCCTGTGGTGGCCCCTAGATGGAATTCTGGAAGGAATTTCTCCTGTGAGGACTCTGCGTTGGAAGTACCAGGGGCTGCCCCCTAGGGCACTTTGATAACCAGAGAGCGTGAACAATTCTTCATTTCCTCAGTTCAGCTTAAGCCACAAAGAATGCCTCCAGGAACCTTGCTAGTAGGTTTGGAAACCTGCTTCTACCACATTAGGGGAGAGAGCTGGACCCATTAGATCACAGCACAGAATGAACTCAAATCAATTCAATCCAACAAACATTTACTGCAAGCCACTAAGGGCCAGATTTTAGGTTGGACAAAAGCACAGATGGAACATACTTCCGGCTGTTGGGTCCTCAGAACCCAAGGGGTGACATGCATCTGTGACACATACATGCATTATTCTTTGTGTACTTTACCAATGTAATCAGAGAGGTTGACTTTCAGAGCCTGGATCAGTAAGCCTTCTTCCACTAGTTCCTTATACAGAGATTCGATGGTCCTGGGGATAAAGCAGACCATCTATTCTGTGAGCAAACACATCAAATCAGCAGTACTGATGTTAAGCATCACACACTCAAGAGAACTTTAACCAGATCTCATTCAAAGTACATTTGTATGTATGCAAATAAATTGACTTTTGAAGCGTTACTACAATTTGGGTATAAATTAGGCTTTTTAAAAACAATACTTGCACTCGTCCATGGGTATACCTGATGTTTCCTATTAATAAGAATTATATCTTTGGGCAGCTGAGACCAGCTATGACTCCTGCAGTCTGCCCTTTCATCAGCCTTCATGATGGCACAAATATGAATTAGAAATTACCCAATAATAGTAACGTAACAGGGCCATAATTATATATTCAGTTAGCATCTGCAAGCTGTAGTAAATCATCAATCCTTCGCGAAATTGACCTTTCCTTTTAACTCCACAGCATAATAGTTTAAAAAAATATCTATAAAAAACAAAGGCTTATAATGGAAATCATTTTAATATGAAAGACAAAATATTATAATTTTTTAGGAGGATGTTATACTCTTCCATAGTGTTTACAGATGACAAAACCTCTTCTCTAAGGGGGCCTTGGGTATGTAGCCAGCATAGTGGTAATTTATACTACTTGAGGAAAAAAAATGGAGAGAGTATCCCATGAATGAAACTCCCAGTGAAATTAACTGGGGCTTGGCTTGCTGGAATTCAGATAGATCATGCTCAAATACAGTGCAGTGGAGTCCTTCGAGATGTTTTGTCTTTTCCCTTTTCATTTATAGGGGCCTGATGCTTTGGTTCAACCCCAGTCTTTCCTTAGACTGAAGAATTGTAAATATAACTATTTTTAAACTGTTCTTTGATTTTTCAATGATCCAAATTACTGTGATTAAAAGAGACTCAAGAAGTGAGTGAGACTCAAGCCAAAAACCATCGGGATAGATGTTAATTCAGTGACTCCAGTCTTTGGTTGACTGAAATTTTATTCTATCAAATATATTTAAAATAGTGTGCGCTCAGCTGAGAATTAAGAAAGTTTTAATTGTAATGGAATTTGGGATGACAGTATCTGACCTGTACCAAGGCAGTATCAACTGTAGTGTTTTGACTTGAATATCCATTTAACATAAACATATGCGTAAAATATTAACATAAAATTGAATAAGATTCTCTAAAATAATCCAAACCAAATATTTTAAGACTCCGGGAACACAAATCTATATTTGGATCTTTCCAGTGAAATAAACTCTTGTGCCAGAATAAAAAATTTCAACTCAAAAACTACCTTATATGGCTACCTTATATGGCTGAGCCAGTTTGAAAGCCCTATAGGCCCCCTTTTGTCTGGGCAGCCAACCTACCAGCCTGGGGCTGCCTTGAGTGAACAAAAAAGCATCATGCCCAGGAATGGTCAGGGAGGAATCCCAAGTTGTAAGCTAATAATATATCATCCTAATCATTAACCAGGAGGTGGCTGAGAAGAGATGGTCCCTTTCTGAGCACGGCCACATACAGTGACCAGGAAGAGATGAGGGAGCTAAGAGTGATAAATCTATTTAAATTGATTTTTCAGGAGGCCATTACAATACTCAACAATAACAATCCCTGTGAATGGCAGGGAGCATAAAATGCCCCTTGAATACCTTGACTGTCAGCACAGTGTTGAGTAGTTCTGTGATGGGGAAAAAAATAAAAAATAAAAAAATAAATAAAATAAAACCACCTTATAAACTATGATAAAAATACTGATTTAAGGTTTATACTAACTGGATGAGAGAAACATAAGTTGTCTTACAGTGTCTTGGCAGAGAACTAGCCCATTTACTGAATCCCACTTAATGAATAACAGAGTCTTTAAAATTAAAATGAAAAGTCTTCCAGGAATAGGATGATCAGGTATTTCTGTACTTTTGGGTATAAAAGTGAATAAAATACTACTGGTCTTTCTTCATTTCACTAGAGAATTGCTGTAGCTCATTTATATTAGTTCAACTGTAAAGAAACCTATGCAAAGAACACATTCATTGGCTAACAGACACGGTCCATGAGCCACATGTGTGCTCTGTGTTGGTAAAGCAGAACTGTATTCAGTTAAGCGACTCTTTAAATGCAGAGAATGTGAATAGATAATTTTTACTTAGTGGTCAGCTCATCTTGGCAGATTTGAGTTTAGCTCTGGGTGGTCATTCAATAAGACACTTAGCAGGATCTACTTTCTCCTGAAAGACTGAGGTAAGGACAAAGGAGAAAAGTGGCATGTGAAAGTCACTGAAAGACAGCAGTGGCCCTGCGGGTAGGCAGGGGCTGGACCTTCCTCCAGGGAAGGGACTACAACATCCCCCCGAGGAGGCATCAGTGTTGGTGCATCGGTAGATGGGCTACTCCCTAGGAACTTGGGCGCCTGAGCCTCAGAATGCTGACCAGGCAGTGGTCAGCCAAAGCTCTTGCACTTGAACTTTTCCCTAAACAATGGAATGTCATGTGAGGAAGCCTGCAGCTCCTCCCTCTAGCGATATCCTGTGGGAGCCTTTTCTCCCCAGAGCCAAAGCCCACACCAAGGCTGGGTGTCTCTCCAGAGGCTGCCTGCCAGGGCCCTGGGCGTGTGCACCAGCTCTGGGGTGCTCTGGTCCCCACTTCTCCTGTGGATGGTTCCAAGCTGGCTTCCTCTCTCGTGGGTCTTCTTTCAAGCAGAGTTTGTAACTGTTATCAGCGCACCCGAAGGGGAACAAGGGAACACCCCGAACAGGGAGCAACACCTGTTACCCATTAACAAACCCATGGGAAAAAAGGTATACGTTCAAAATGATTTCTGCCGTTCACTTCCTAGGGATTTTAATTAAATTCCTTGAAAATGTTTGAAAACCTAGGCCCTATTTATTTCCAATATTAAAGCACTGAAGGCCATTTCAGCTTAAAAATGAGCATTTATAATTATTCGTTAATATCAAAGTTCAGCCGATGAGGCTTAAGGAAATGGAAGTATCCTTTCACAATGAGACAAAATCCTCACCCTTTCCTTCAAGGAGCACTTATGAAGGACCTCAGCGGGCCGGGCAGCGGGCCGGGCCCAGGGGCGGGCATGTAATATGAACTGTCTCTGCCCTCAAGGACTGCAGTCTCAGTGTTCCCTCAAAAGCTGTAGCGGGATGCTATTTTCTCAAAAAACTTTCTTGAGAACCCCATGAATTTTAAAACTTAAAAAATGTCACATGGCCTTAGAAGCAACGGGGCCTGAGTCTGCCTTCCAAGCCCCCCCTCTCCACTGCGTCTCCCTAGTCGAGGATGCCGGCCTGCACGCAGGACTGCAGAGAGGTCTCCTCCGTGCTTTCCCCACCATATACTCTTCCAGGGTGAAGGGGTGTGGTGTACGGAGCAGTGGGGGAGGGGGTGCCTTTCCCAGACCAGGCCGAGGACTCAGGCCATGTCCTGTGCTCTTTTCTGCGGTGCCCCCACCTGTGTGCACCCCTCACCTGTCCGCCGTTGGGTCTTTATCCTTCTTTCCCACTTTCCATTTTCTGTCTTTCTCCTTTTTATTTTTCTGGAAGAAAATGGGGGAAAAAAAAACCCATTTAGTAAAAACAAGCTTTGTGTAAACAAGAAAAATGAGCTCTAGAAATTAGCTAAGGAAGCTGATTTTGGGTGGTGGCATAGGGGAATGGGAGGCGGGAAGTCAGTCACGGTACATGGAGCGGCAACACATACGTCATGGACATAGGGACTGGCAGGTGAGGTGGCCGCTCGGAAACCTGCACGGACTGAGTCCCAACAGGCCCCGAGCATTGTGGTTCTTCTTCTGGGCCCTGGCACGCTTGCTACAAAGGATGAGAGTGCCGAGTGCACAGGCAATCAAGCTGTGCTTTTCTTTGATATCTGATCACCTCTCTGTTAGCATCAGGACCCAGACCTGGAGCCCAAAGAGTGACGCAAGCATCCAACTTTGGTTCCCAAAGGGCTTTGCACTCAGATCCTTGTGCCGGCTGGAGGGCAGTGCTCAGAATGTGGTCCGTTAAAGCAGTGCTTATCACTGCACTATTCTGCCTAAAATATCCACCAGTGGGCTTCCCTGGTGGCGCAGTGGTTGAGAGTCTGCCTGCCGATGCAGGGGACACGGGTTCGTGCCCCGGTCCGGGAAGATCCCACATGCCGCGGAGAGGCTGGGCCCGTGAGGCATGGCCGCTGAGCCTGCGTGTCCCGAGCCCGTGCTCCGCAACGGGAGAGGCCACGGCAGTGAGAGGCCCGCGTACCGCAAAAAATAAAAAAATAAATAAAATATCCACCAGTACCTCCCCATTGCCCACAGGATAAAGTTAAAATTCCACAGCCTGGCCCATATCTTCCTTTGTTGCCTCATCTTCTATCCCAGGCCTTCTCAGGTGACTCTTGCTCCTTATCATTTCATTCATGCTTTCATTTATTGTTTTTATTGCAGCATAATGTACATAAAGTATACCCACATCAGGTTGATTAACATTTTACATTTAATTTTGACATATAATCATATAACTACCACCCAGCTGAAAATACAGAACATATTTTCACCATTCCTAAATTCTCTCTCACTCTGCTTTCCGGTCTGTAGGTAACCACCACTCTGACTTCTCTGGGGATTCGCATTGCCTGTTCTTGAACATGGAGTCTTACAATATAAACTCTTTTTTTTTAATTTAACATCTTTATTGGAATATAATTGTTTTACAGTGTTGTGTTAGTTTCTGCTGTATAACAAAGTGAATCAGCTATATGCATATGTATATCCCCATGTCCCCTCCTTCTTGCATCTCCCTCCCACCCTCCTTATCCCACCCCTCTAGGTGGTTGCAAAGCACCGAGCTGATCTCCCTGTGTATGCAGCTGTTTCCCACTAGCTATCTATTTTACATTTGGTAGTGTATATATGTCCATGCCACTCTCTAACTTTGTCCCAGCTTCCCCTTCCCCCTCCCCATGTCCTCAAGTCCATTCTCTGCATCTGTATCTTTATTCCTGCCCTGCCCCTAGGTTCATCAGAACCATTTATTTTTTTAGATTCCGTACATGTTAGCATACAGTATTTGTTTTTCTGACTTAATTCACTCTGTATGACAGACTCTAGGTCCATCCACCTCACTAGAAATTACTCAGTTTCATTTCTTTTTATGGCTGAGTAATATTCCATTGTATATATATGCCACATCTTCTTTATCCATTCATCTGTCGATGGACACTTAGGTTGCTTCCATGTCCTGGCTATTGTAAATAGAGCTGCAATGAACATTGTGGTACATGACTCCTTTTGAATTATGGTTTTCTCAAGGTATGTGCCCAGTAGCGGGATTGGTGGGTCATATGGCATTTTTAGTTTTGTTTTTTTTTCCACTTATTTTTAGTTTTTTAAGGAACCTCCATACTGTTCTCCACAGTGGCTGCATCAATTTACATTTCCACCAACAGTGCAAGAGGGTTCCCTTTTCTCCACACCCTCTCCAGCGTTTATTGTTTGTAGACTTTTTGATGATGGCCATTCTGACCGGTGTGAGGTGATACCTCATTGTACTTTTGATTTACATTTCTCTAATGATTAGTGATGTTGAGCATCCTTTCACGTGTTTGTTGGCAATCTGTTTATCTTCTTTGGAGAAACATCTCTTTAGGTCTTCTGCCCATTTTTGGATTGGGTTGTTTGTTTATTTGATATTGAGCTGCATGAGCTGCTTGTATATTTTGGAGATTAATCCTTTGTCAGTTGATTCATTTGCAAATATTTTCTCCCATTCTGAGGGTTGTCTTTTCGTCTTGTTTATGGTTTCCTTTGCTGTGCAAAAGCTTTTAAGTTTCATTAGGTCCCATTTGTTTATTTTTATTTCCATTTCTCTAGGAGGTGGGTCAAAAAGGATCTTGCTGTGATTCATGTCATAGAGTGTTCTATGATTTCCTCTGAGGGTTTTACAGTGCCTGGCCTTACATTTAGGTCTTTAATCCATTTTGAGTTTATTTTTGTGTATGGTGTTAGGAAGTGTTCTAATTTCATTCTTTTACGTGTAACTGTCCAGTTTTCCCAGAACCACTTATTATTATTTTTTAACATCTTTATTGGAGTATAACTGCTTTACAATGGTGTGTTAGTTTCTGCTTTATAACAAAGTGTATCAGCTATACATATACATATATCACCATATCTCTTCCCTCTTGTGTCTCCCTCCCTCCCACTCTCCCTATCCCACCCCTCTAGGTGTTCACAAACACCGACCAGCACCACTTATTGAAGAGGCTGTGTTTTCTCCATTGTATATTCTTGCCTCCATTGTCAAAGATAAGGTGACCATATGTGTGTGGGTTTATCTCTGGGCTTTCTATCCTGTTCCATTGATCTATATTTCTGTTTTCGTGCCAGTACCATACTGTCTTGATTACTGTAGCTTTGTAGTATAGTCTGAAGACAGGGAGCCTGATTCTTTCATTTTTCTTTCTCAAGATTGCTTTGGCTATTTGGGGTCTTTTGCATCTCTATACAAATTGTGAAATTTTTGGTTTCTACCAATGGAAAAATGCCATTGGTATTTTGATAGGGATTGCATTGAATCTGTAGATTCCTTTGGGTAGTATAGTCATTTTCACAATGTTGATGCTTCCAATCCAAGAATATGGTATATCTCTCCATCTGTTTGTATCAACTTTAAGTTCTTTCATCAGTGTCTTATAGTTTTCTGCATACAGGTCTTTTGCCTCCTTAGGTAGGTTTATTCCTGGGTATTTTATTCTTTTTGCTGCAATGGTAAATGGGAGTGTTTCCTTAACTTCTCTTTCAGATTTTTCATCATTAGTGTATAGGAATGCAAGAGATTTCTGTGCATTAATTTTGTATCCTGCTACTCTACCAAATTTATTGATTAGATCTAGTAGTTTTCTGGTAGCGTCTTTAGGATTCTCTATGTATAGTATCATGTCATCTGCAAACAGTGACAGTTTTACTTCTTCTTTTCCGATTTGGATTCCTTTTATTTCTTTTTCTTCTCTGATTTCCGTGGCTAGGACTTCCAAAACTATTTTGAATAACAGTGGTGAGAGTGGGCAACCATGTCTCGTTCTTGATCTCAGAGAAAATGGTTTCAGTTTTTCACCATTGAGAATGATGTTGGCTGTGGGTTTGTCATATATGGACTTTATTATGTTGAGGTAGGGTCCCTCTATGCCTACTTTCTGGAGAGTTTTTATCATAAATGGGTGTTGAATTTTGTCAAAAGCTTTTTGTGCATCTACTGAGATGATCATATGGTTTTTATCCTTCAGTTTGTTAATATGGTGTATCACATTGATTGATTTGAATATATTGAAACATCCATGCATTTCCGGGATAAACCCCACTGGATCACAGTGTATGATCCTTTTAATGTGTTGTTGGATTCTGTTTGTTAGTATTCTGTTGAGGACTTTTGCATCTATGTTTTTGCATCAGAGATATTGGCCTGTAGTTTTCTTTCTCTGTGACATCTTTGCCTGGTTTTGGTATCAGGGTGATGGTGGCCTCGTAGAATGATTTTGGGAGTGTTCCTCTCTCTGCTATATTTTGAAAGGGTTTGAGAAGGATGGGTGTTAGCTCTTCTCTAAATGTTGGGTAGAATTTGCCTGTGAATCCATCTGGTCCTGGGCTTTTGTTTGTTGGAAGATTTTTAATCACAGTCTCAATTTCAGTGCTTGTAATTGGCCTGTTTATATTTTCTCTTTCTTCCTGGTTCAGTCTCAGAAGTTGTGTTTTTCTAAGAATTTGTCCATTTCTTCCACACTGTCCATTTTATTGGCATAGAGTTGCTTGTAATAATCTCTCATGATCCTTTGTGTCTCTGCAGTGTCAGTTGTTCCTTCTCCTTTTTCATTTCTAATTCTGTTGATCTGAGTCTTCTCCCTTTTTTCTTGATGAGTCTGGCTAATGGTTTATCAATTTTGTTTATCTTCGCAAAGAACCAGCTTTTGGTTTTATTGATCTTTGCTATCATTTCCTTCATTTCTTTTTCATTTATTTCTGATCTGATCTTTATGAGTACTTTCCTTCTGCTAACTTGGGTTCTTTTTTTAGTTCTTCTTTCTCTAATTGCTTTAGGTGTAAGGTTAGGTTGTTTATTTGAGATGTTTCTTGTTTCTTGAGGTAGGATGGTATTGCTATAAACTTCCCTCTTAGAACTGCTTTTGCTGCATCCCATAGGTTTTGGATCGTCATGTTTTCATTGTCATTTGTTTCTAGGTATTTTTTGTACCTTCTTTGATTTCTTCAGTGATCTCTTGGTTATTTAACAGTGTATTGCTTAGCCTCCATGTGTTTGTAGTTTTTACAGTTTTTCCTGTAATTAATATCTAGTCTCATAGCATTGTGATCGGAAAAGATACTTGATACACTTTCAATTTTCTTAAATTTACCAAGGCTTGATTTGTGACCCAAGCTATGGTCTGTCCTGGAGTATGTTCTGTGAGCACTTGAGAAGAAAGTGTATCCTGTTGTTTTTGGATGGAATGTCCTATAAATATCAATTAAGTCCTTCTTGTTTAATGTGTCATTTAAAG